GCCGTCGGGGAAGTGGCTCAAATAGCCTCGGCTATCACTTCCTTTTGACGGCCGTGATGGTCAAGTGGATTAAGGCGCCCTGTAGTTACCAGTTGCGTTGCTTCTGGGAGTATGGGTTCGAGTCACTTCTGGGGTGTGAGTTTTCATTCGCATATAGTCCTGGGGACCATTCAGGCTTGTTCGCATATATATATATATATATGATATATAATATAATATGACATTCATGGTTACAGGGATGAAACGAAAGTCGTGAAGAGAAGGGAAGGGTGGAGAAGGTGGAGAAAGGTAGGAATGGTCCACAACAGGATCGAAACTTCGTCAATTCTTCATTTTTTAGATATCTGGATTGGATGTATAATGTTCAGCCAGGCTGTTGTGACTCATCGTCTCAACCCTCGTCTTTCAAGATGCCAAATCTAGCATTTTTTTTTCGTTTCAGTTTTCATCATTTTCTTGGCAATGATGGCTCACTTCTTGTTAACTTTCTACTTGAGAAATTGCAATTGCCTTTGCACTCTTTCCATCTGGAAAGACTGGAGCCGGTCGGCCGAGCGGACAGCATGCTGGACTTGTGATCCTGTGGTCCTGGGGTCCGATCCCGGGCGCCGGCGAGAAACAATGGGCAGAGTTTCTTTCACCCTATACTCTTGTTACCTAGCAGTAAAATAGGTACCTGGGTGTTAGTCAGCTGTTACGGGCTGCTTCCTGGGGGAAGTTGGGCCTTCCTGGCCTGGTCGAGGGCCGGGCCGTGGGGACACTAAAGCCCCGAAATCATCTCAAGATAACCTCAAGATAGATCTGTGCTGGTATCTTAAGACGGGGCTTCTCAAAGTCCACAGAGCCAGTGCCACAAACAAGCTAACAAGCAAATCACACAACTCGACCGGAAAAAACCCAGCACAATTAGGTGAACACAGTTGAAAAAAAATCACCTAGAAAAACACAGCGGGAATAATAATAATAATAATAATAAAACATGAAAAACATAGCAGGAAAAACAGGGCGAGGTTAGTAATCACTCCTCAAATTCCATTTTAGCCGTTTAATTAACGTGAAATGACGCAGTAACGAGTTTCGAGGGTCGAGGCGCTCGTTAAGTTCAATTTACAGTTTTGCTGCTTTATGAAACGTCGTCGAGTTAGTGTGTGTGTGTGCGTGTGTGTGTGTGTGTGTGTGTGTGTGTGTGTGTGTGTGTGTGTGTGTGTGTGTGTGTGTGTGTGTGTGTGTGTGTGTGTGTGTGTCTGTGTGTGTGTGTGTCTGTGTGTGTGTGTGTGTGTGTGTGTGTGTGTGTGTGTGTGTGTGTGTGTGTGTGTGTGTGTGTGTGTGTGTGTGTACTCACCTAATTGTACTCACCTAATTGTGCTTGCGGGGGTTGAGCTCTGGCTCTTTGGTCCCGCCTCTCAACCGTCAATCAACTGGTGTACAGATTCCTGAGCCTATTGGGCTCTATCATATCTACATTTGAAACTGTGTATGGAGTCAGCCTCCACCACATCACTTCCTAATGCATTCCATTTACTAACTACTCTGACACTGACACTGACACTGACACTGTTGTGTGTGTGTGTGTGTGTGTGTGTGTGTGTGTGTGTGTGTGTGTGTATGTGTACTCACCTAATTGTACTCACCTAATTGTGCTTGCGGGGGTTGAACTTTGGCTCTTTGGTCCCGCCTCTCAACTGTTTCTACTACTACTACTATTTTTTTTTCCACACCACACACACATACACCCCAGGAAGCAGCCCGTGATAGATGACTAACTCCCATGTACCTATTACACTGCTAGGTAATAGGGGCATAGGGTGAAAGAAACTATGCCCATCGTTTCTCGCCGGCGCCCGGGATCGGACCCTAGGACCACAGGATCACGTGCCCAGCGTGCTGTCCGCTCGGCCACCGGCTCCCCAGAGGGGAGTGTGTGTGTGTGTGAGTGTGAGTGTGCTTACCTAATTGTGTTTTAACAGCAATGTCTATAAGGGCCGAGATCTAGCTCTAGAAGCCCGCCTCGTAGCCTGGTACAGTTATTCTGCCAGATGTTCCAGTGCGCTCTGAGGGCCAGATTCACGAAGCAGTTACGCCAGAACTTACGAACCTGTACATCTTTCCTCAATCTTCGGCGGCTTTGTTTACAATTATTAAACAGTTAATGAGCTCCGAAGCACCAGGAGGCTGTTTATAACAATAACAACAGTTGATTGGCAAGTTTTCATGCTTGTAAACTGTTTAATAAATGTAACCAAAGCCGTCAATGATTGAGGAAAGATGTACACGTTCGTAAGTATTTGCGTAACTGCTTCGTGAATCTGGCCCCTGGTAACTAAAAGGACGAACCTGTCTTACTGATGACCTTGAGGGCCTTGTATACGAACTCGCAGGTGTTGCTGGAGTCCATGTTCGCATCCCGCATCTGATAGACGATTGAGCCGTAGGCCGACATCCCGCTCTCCGCGTTGAGCTTCCCTGCAGAGAACAGCTGTCGTCGGTCGTCCACGGACACCTGCAAGGAAGGGGGACGGGTGTTAGTGATGGGAGACACCTGTAAGGGGTCGACGAGAGTGTGGGAGAGCCCGGGAGAGAGTGTGGGAGGGAGAGAGCGGCGCACAACGGCAGCGTGGGAGAGTAGCATGTCATTTCTAGCCTCGCCGCAGGCCAGGCTAGTGATAGGGCGTCACTATACGACTGGCGTATGGTGACGCATGATATAGTGACACTGGGGTATAGTGACGAGGGAGGTATAGGGAGGGGGGGGAAGGAGGTTGGTCGAGGACCCTATCGTTCAAAATCCCGACCACAGACCTCTCTGCCCTCATCTCTCTCTCTCCCTCCCTCCCTCTCTCTCTCTCACTCCCTCTCTCACTCCCTCCTTCCTCCCTCCCTCCCTTTATCACTCACTGGCTCCCTATTTCCTGCACCTCTCTCTCTTAAGTGCCACCACCACGTGACTCATGTGTTCAATACACCAGCTTAATGTTCACCAACACATGAGTCATGTGTTCAACGCACAGCTGAGTGTTCACCAACACATGAGTCATGTGTTCAACGCACAGCTGAGTGTTCACCAACACATGAGTCATGTGTTCAACGCACAGCTGAGTGTTCACCAACACATGAGTCATGTGTTCAACGCACAGCTGAGTGTTCACCAACATACCAGAGCCACTTGTTCATCACTTATCACCTGCGGAGGCTTAAAGCTGAACACCTCTTCTCTCCCTCCTGTCTCTTGTATATTCTTTTCTCTGCTTCCCTTTCTACCTCTTTTTTGTCTACCTCCTCCTTCTTCTCTTCCTCATTTTCTCTCCTCCCTGTCCTGCCTCCCTGCTCCCTCTTCCTGCTGCTTCTCTTCCTCCTCCTCCTCCTGTGCTCTTCACCACACCTGTTGATCCACCGGTTGATCACAACAGGTGGGAGGGACCACACTACAACCCGCCTTTCAACACCACACTTACCAGAATGGAAATGTCCCCATTAGCACCATAGACCCCATGCTGCCATGGCTCCCATACCATCTTCTAGCGGGGGTAGAAATAGCCTAAGCTACTCTATCCCTTTGAGATGTATTTTCTTGTCTCAATAAACATACTTGAACTTGAACCATCTTGCGCTAAAAGGACCTTATCATAGTGAGGTACTCATGAGCTACCATAAGGTATGAGGAACATAATTTACATATATGTAAATGGAGAGTTATGGATTGAATTGAACACTCTTGCAAGGTCAAGTGAAGATCTCAGTGCTCCTGTATCTCTGTTTATTCATTCTGCATCATTACACCCAGTGCCGTGCCGGGCACCCCATAAATCATGCCCACACACCACACTCAAAGTCATACACTCATTTCCCCTCACTCTCGCATCTTAAACCGTCCAATACACATTATCTAAAACCAAACAGCTCACAGTCCCTACAACATCATCAACAATGAGTGTGTGTGTATGAGAGAGAGAGAGAGAGAGAGAGAGAGAGAGAGAGAGAGAGAGAGATGGCGACAAGTAAGTTACCAGCTGTTCATGCCCGTGCCACCTCTTGGGGTGGGCTAAATCTTCATCAATCGACAAGTAACAAGTAAAGATAACTCGGTGTTGCAGCACAGCGTCAGAGAAACACAGCACCACATTGCATATGAGAACTACATATGCACAACTTGTAGGGGAAACTGTTGGATGTTCTTGTACCCTGTGTCGTGGCAAGTGCTCAAGGTAAAGAGGCGCTTCGACACTTGACTCACCAGTCACACTCGCCATTTAACATTATCTACACTCGGCTATATTATTAGTCTTTGATAATCACAATCACAATTAGTTTTTGATAGTCACAATCGACTTGAGAATGGTCCAGGACGGACCGAAACGTCGTCGTCCCTTCACCTTCTAGTGTGTGGCCTGGTCAACATTAGTCTTTGAATTTGAAATTGAATATATGATGAAGCGACCGAAGCAACTGGTGACCGAAACATCAACGAAGCCAAACATTATCAAGACACCTTACCAGGGGCTAATATGTGACCACGCCTTCATAGGGCGCGGAAGCTATTGAAACCTAGAGTCAAAGTCCAACGACGAACTCAACCCAAAGGCATCAACTATTCAACATTCCACTGTCACATGGAACCAACATTCCCACAATTCCACTGTCTGGGGACGGCCAATACCTCAACTGTCGTGTCAAGAGAGACATGCCCTCAACATTCATTTGTCAAATGTTACCAAGGCCAGTGCCAGTGGATGTGAATACCTGGAACCCGAGCCGAGTATCCAGGATGGAGGGAAAATGGTAGCGACACAACCAGATTGGAGCCGACCACACAACTGCCACTGCAAGCGCCAGGTAGAGAGGAAGAGGCAGACTCCCGGCATCACTACACCTCTCTCTCCCTCTCTCTCTCTCTCTCTCTCTCTCTCTCTCTCTCTCTCTCTCTCTCTCTCTCTCTCTCTCTCTCTCTCTCTCTCTCTCTCTCTCTCTCTCTCTCTGTTCTTGGGATGTAATCACGGGAGTTCTCCCACTGCCCCGGGTTAAGGTTAAAAGAGGGTTTACAAGTGAATCTGTAAAATTAATTCATGTATATATAGATACATGCGTCCATGCACGTACACACAGAGACACGCACGCACACACTCGGCTAGTATGGCAACATGCTGACGGTCAGACAGTGACAGAGACGGAGACAGTCCAAATAAAAGAATAAAAGGCCAAACTAGTTGAGACAAAACGGACAGCAAAACACCGCCTGCAGCGTGGGGGCGATCAGTGGAGCTGATAAACAAGGCGGTGAGATTAACTCTGTAGTGATCATCGCTGATAAAAAATAAATTACAGATATAAACGAGTGAGGTTTAAAGCTACAACTGAGAGTTCCCTTCCTTGCAAAGTCTACGTTCGAGCCCCGATGATCCATGTGCTTGGGCTCCGTTGCTTTCCCTCCCTCCGTCCTCATATTCCAGCTCCTTGATCTCGTATACCTTACATTTGCTATATAGCTATACTGGCTGATTGATTGATGAAGATGAAGCCACCCAAATGGTGGCACGGGCATGAATAGCCCGTAAGTGGTGGCCCTTTTGAGCCATTACCAGTATCAAGAGCTGATACTGGAGATCTGTGGAGGTGCGACTGCACCCTGTGTGACGGGAGATGTCTCCCGTCTGTGCTATACTGGCTTAGAGTTTTCTCTTGATAAATATCTTTGCCTTCCCTACCCCCCGTCCACCTTAAAACCGCAACCACGTCTTCTCTCACCCCCATCCATCCCTCATCTCTGTTTCCCCTATTACATTTGTGTGAATTTCACCGATGTTCTCCGATGTTGTAACATAAGATGAACTCATTTGGGTAAATTAGTATAAACGAATCTGTACAGGAAATACCTGCTCGGAAAAGTGTAAAGTGTAAAAATGTGTACACAGTATATTCGTATAACGATGACAGCAGATAGGAAAGTGTAACAGACAGTATTTATCTTTGTCGAAATACAAGGACAAAGTGCTTAAATGGCCTCCTCAAAGAGACTAAGGCAGTATTGGGAGCTCTGACTAAATCACATATATAATTTATATATGTGATACAGTAACTAGGTCACATGGAGGAGTAGAATTGTATATTAAAGACCTTGTATGCTGGGAGTTCAAAGCCCCGCTCCTGTGCCAGGTAAGTCCACTACGGGCTCACCATAGCCCGTGCTACTTGGAACTTGTTCCGAGTAGCTAAATCTATAACAACAACAACACCTCGGAGCTCCTAAACTCTACAACTGAGGTGACAAACGTACTTGGAATAAAAATAAAGAAAATAAACTTAGTTATTATTCTAACATATAAACAGCCAGATGCAACGCTTGAAGGATTCACAGAACAGATAAACAGGAAAGAGATAAACAAATAAACAAAATAGAGAACAGCCTCGACAAGCTGCCAAACCTAGTACCTGATGTTATCTTCCGTGGAAACTTGAACCTGACAAGTCTAAGATGGAGAGTTGCATACAATAACGGTTTATCAGGAAATAAATCTAGAAATAACCAACTACTTAGAGAACTACTTAGATCAGGTCAGAGGACTACTTAGATCAGGTCAGAGAACTACTTAGATCAGGTCAGAGAAATACTTAGATCAGGCCAGAGAACTACTTAGATCAGGTCAGAGAACTACTTAGATCAGGTCAGAGAACTACTTAGATCAGGCCAGAGAACTACTTAGATCAGGCCAGAGAACTACTTAGATTCTGTGACAAATTTTCGCTCAACGAGCAGGTAATAGAGTCGACTAGGAACGAAGATACTCTAGATCTGATCTCCACAATGAAGAAATAATCAGGGACTTTGCAAATTAAGATGCCACATACTCTCATCGCGAGTTCATTGAAGAGCAACTAACATCAGTACTCGTAATATGTACAAAAAAATATCAAACTAAAGAGGCTATTCAATAAAATTTCAATAAGAAAATTAACTAGAAAAAAATAAACAGAACTTGCAAACATCCAACGATAAACTGCCTTGAGGCTCAAAACTTTCACGCCAGGAATAGATCAATTGACTCCCGAGGGATACAAAGTCTGCTTGAAAAGGTTCCTTTGCCCTTTGACCTTTCTGAAAAGGCCAGAAACAGGTCTAACTTAGAAAGGTGACGCAGACGACACTTCAGGAGGAATTTTTTACCCCGGAAATGCATATTCCTTTTACGGAAAGGGATCATCACCCCCCCCCCCCCTTCCCTTATCTTGACGTTATCTTGACATGATTTCGGGGCTTTTTTTAGTGTCCCCGCGGCCCGGTCCTCGACCAGGCCTCCACTCCCAGGAAGCAGCCCGTGACAGCTGACTAACACCCAGGTACCTATCCTCCCAAATATATTTCCCTGAAGTGATACCTATAGACAGGAAGAACAACAGACGTGTTGCTATTATAAGACATACAGATGGGGAAGCTGGCCGCCGGCCACGCCGCCATGCATGACACATGAACGGTCACTTGCTATATCTGGAGATGACGGAAATAAACCT